TTATTCATCTCTTTACTTGGGCTTTCTTAACAAAGTGTACTTGGTTCTGAGAAAACAGATGCAAGGCATAGGCCTTAAATTAAGGGCTCACAGATGGCATACAATGGTAAATAAACTTTTCAAATCACTATGGTGTTTTAAAATGGTAATATGCAGAGGAGTGTGCTTAGAAAACCCATAGTAGAGTGGCACAGGAGGGGACACAGAGAAGATGAATTGTTTCTTTGAGGGTGAGGAAGACTTCCAAGGGCATCACTAACACTTGAGGAGGTCATCAGGTAGTCACAGAGCTGGGCAGTGCAAAAGCAGATTCAAAGATAGAAAGACTCACAGAGAGGTTCTTTACAGAGCTGGAGTCAAGGGATGTGTGGAAAACTGTCAAGGGTAAGGCCAAGAAGTAGGCAGAGACCATATCATGAAGGACCTTGACTGCTATGCTAAAAGGCTTATGATTTATCCCAAAAGTAATAGGGGCCTTGGCCAATTTTAGTTCTGAGAGTGGTAAGAGCTGCATCTTTACTCAACAACAATCCTGTACTTGAGAAAGGCTCTGATAAATCCACTCATTCTGGAGCATGGCTGTCAGGTAAAAGAAAGGAGTTCACAGGTATGGAAATGCAGCCCCAGAAGTTGCTTACAGGAGCTTACAGCAGAAAGTGGGAGTGGTATTTTCTGAAGAACGTGCTGGACATCACTGTAGGTATGACTGGCCTTTGCTTTAGGAAAAGAATTATTAATTTAGTTCTAACAAGAGGAAGACGGTGGATGTCCCTGTTTGTTTTTCACTACTTAAGAGGCTTGTCTTCAGAATGTTGTCCCTGATTATTTGACTTGGACTGTTTTAGGGAAATAGCACCCTCTAGAGGAAGGAGGGTGCATGTTTTGGGTGGAGCAGCAACAAACCACTTCCACAACTTTGGCCAGCTTCCTTCCCCAAGGCTCTGGCCAGCTTGGGGGTGGAGTGTCTGATTATTTATCTGCTTCTGACTCTGGCCACCAGAGAACAAAGTGGCCTGGCTGTGGGAAGTGGAACAACAGCTGGGAACAGCAGATCACAGCTGGAGGTGGCAGATATAAAGGCTGGCAACAGCAGGCACAACAGTTGGAGGCGGCAAACACAACAGCCAAAGGCAACAAAGAGGCTAGCCAGTAGCCAAATCTCCAGTGCCCATGAGTCCATAGCCTTAATGTTGGGCTCTTGCAGCTCTGGGCTCTGTCTTCTCTCTCAGCCTTGGTACAATAGAGGCATCTCCTGAAAGTATGAGACCCATGACAATGAACCTGGGGTCCACAACAGCAGTTGCTGGACCAGGAGCCAGAAGACATGGGTTTGGGTTCCAACTCTATCACTAATCTATTTTGGATTATTTTAGAAACTGAGCTTTAGTTTCTAATGATGTCTTTCCTACCTACCCCACAACATGAGGACAGATTTCATAAACTTTAAAGTGATAGATAATTATAAATAATTATTTTGAGAATAAGCAAATCTTTCCTTGGGCTAACAGCTTCCAGTCTCCGTGATAGGCAGAATCTTCCCTGAACACAAACCTAGGACTTTAATGGATTCCTGAATGTCACCATAGAAAGTGCAGGGGTAGAGATGGGGAGGAGGAGACAGGCCTCCTGATCCTCTGAGTGTTGTCAGAAACTTAATGATAATCTTTCAACACCCATCTGCAGCTTTAATCTCATCTATAGGATCTTTGCAAAGTGCTTGTACAACCTGTCCTTGAATACCTTCATGGGCAGGGCACTCTCCAACTTTTAAGGAACTCTTTTTACATTTGGACTTCCTGATTGTATAATGTCCTTTGTAATATTAGTCTGGAATCTTTCTCCCTGTAGTTTGAACTCATTGGCCCCGGTTGTTCCTCTTGGAGCTCAAAGGACTAGTCTAAACCCTTATTCATATGACATCTCTTTAAGCCAAGTATTTGTACACATTCATTATATACTTCAAATTGTCTCTCCTCCTTACTAACCCCCCCATTTCCTTTAACCATTTCTCATGTGATCTGGTCCTGAATTTTCTCATATCCTGATTGTTCCTTGAGCCTGGATACTGCAGGTGTGGGATGAACTGAGTAGAATAGAATTATTTATTTATTTATTGTAGAGACTTTCATCTCTAAAACTACTATGGTTTAAGATACTGTTTTTGTGGCAAACAAAATACATGAATAACTCATGCTGGATTATTTTCTGATGTTTCTTTCTTTTTTTTTCATTGCTGCTTGCTAAATCACATCTTCCCAATCCTGAACTTGCTTAGGTACTTCTTGGACCCAAGTACATAATTTAATTTTTATCCTTTTGTTAGATTTGGCTCACTCATCTGGCTCCTTTTAGATCCCATTTCTTCCCAGTCCTTGCATTTGTAATCTGTCCCAGCTTTGTGTCATCCACATAATTGATGGCCCTAGTGTTCTTCTAGTTTTTAATGAAATTAGTGTTAAGAACATTGAATAGGGCAAGACCAAAGATAAAGCTCTTTTTTACATTAGTAGAAAATTAATTCATGGCCCACTCACTAGTACTGCTGATTTTAAAAATTTTAAGTCACCTAATTTCATTACCCTTCTGTTCACTTTTCTTTGTCTTATCCCCAAGGAAAATTACAGATCTTGTCAAAAATCTTGGAGGCTTAGGTACGCTTTATTGCATTTAGTTGATTTATTATTTTAATAACCTTATCGTAGAAGAAATGATTTTGATGTGGCTTGTTTTTAGTAAACCCACACTGAGTCTTACTGATAACTTCCTTTCTCTTATCCTGCTCAGTTACTTATAATCTTAATATTCTACTCAAGGATCCTACCTAAGATCAAGATCAAGATCTCACCTGTTTGTTTATAGATTGGTAGTTCATTTTTCCTTTTCCCTCCCTCCTTCCTTCCCTCCCTTTTTTTCTTCCTTCCTTCCTCCCTCCTTTTTTTTTTTTTTTTTGGCAGTACTGGGGATTGAACTCAGGGTGTTATGCTTGCTAGACAAGCACTCTGCCACTTGAACCATGCCCCAGTCCTTTTGGCTTTTAGTTTGTTTGTCAAACAGGATCTTGCACTTTTGACCATGCTGGCCTCAGACTTCGATCCTCCTACCTCTGGCTCCCAAGTAGCTGGAATTTCAGGCATGCACCACTATGTCTGGCCCTTCATTTTCCTTTCTGAAAATTAAAACTATGTTTACTCATTTCCAATTCTGCAGCAATTCCTCTATTTTCTAATATTCCTCAAAATCTCATATAGAGGTTTTATATTTTTTCAAGAGTTTGAGGATCAAATGAGAAGCTGTGCTTATGTGTGAACTCTAAAATGGTATATACACACAGGAATTGTGGTAGCTGTTTTTATTACCACTACTGAGTACTAAATAGGGCTATTTGAGCTCTAAATGGGAATTCTTTAAATTTCAGAAGTGTAGAGCTTCTTTTTGCTTCAAAGGCGCCAAGGACATTGGGCAGTGAATAGCACTTGAGTCTGATTGAGTAGTGGTTTCACATGAATAAAAGTTCCAAATAGTCTCCTGGTTGGTAAAATGAGCATCCTGGCTACCTCTGAACATTCTTGGGATTCTTGGCCACTGGTGGTCTCTAATTCAGTACCTACCTAGATGGCAATATATAGATGGACTCAGATAATTTAGAATTTTCCAGGGACAAGGCAGTAGGGAAAATAGGGGAGGGGAAGTATGAAGAACAATGATAAAACAGACTTTTGGAATGAGGATGTGATGAATTTCTCTGATCTTCAAAAAGGCCCAAATCCCCAGAGTTTACCTTGCTCCTTCCCAGAAGAGTCCAAGTGCTTGAGTGATTAAAATTTTCTCTGCTGGAAAAGTACAAAGTTACTCCTTGGGCAGGGGTATCAGGCACCTTGTATTATCCTATTTCAGTGCCTGTTCCAGTTTCTACTCTCAGGACAAATAGCAATTCTGAACTTGAGCCTGTGCAGACATAGCCACTAACTACTATGTTCTCCTACTTCTCTTAGTCAAGACAGTTTTGCTACCTACAATCTGGCATTTTTGCCAATCCTTATGGGAAATGTCCTAATGCTGCCAGGAAGTTTCAGTATCTTTGTTTCTCTCCCACTACTGTTTATTTCTTTTTCCTCAAATCCTGTTTGTACTCTTCCTAATATCAACCTAGACCCTAATCCCCAGGTGATGCAAACAGATGATAATAAATGAAATGGGCTGGGTACTTGTACAGCATCTTGGAGGGTAGAAGAATGGGAAATTCTTCAGCTATATGAGCATGTTAGTATCACCAGTGGGTACTAACTTGGTACTGTGAGAGAGAATAGAGAAATTAAAGGTGTGTGTATATCTTAATAGGGATTGGCCTGGAAGGATTTCCATGGAATAGGCTTTTTTTGCCTTATGATAGATATTATGAGAGTGGGGAGGGATCCTATTTCAGAATTAGATACCATTAAAAATCTGGTTCTGTGGCAAAAGATCACTAGAGCCCTTATTAGTCTTGTCCTCACTTTTCAACTGTGAACTTATTACTCTTTCTTCTCTGCCTCTCCTTTTCTAAAAATTAAAATATTAGACTGTATTAAGATTATTTGCTTATTTAGCATGTATGTTCCTCACTAGGCTGTGAGTTAAGAGAATCAGAATGATGTCTTTTTCATCTTTGACTTACTAGACCTTGTACAGTAGCTGGCATATAGCAAGTGCTCCATAAATGGTTGCTAATAAAAGAACACACAAGTGGCATCAAAATGATTGTTAGTTCTTCCTGTCTACTGGGTGGTGTCTAGGATTTGGGTGGACTCCTTTCTTTCTTTCTTTCTTTCTTCCTTCCTTCCTTCCCTCCCTTATTTATTTGTTTTTGGAACAGGGTCTCACTATGTAGTCCAGGCTGTCCTCAAACTCACAATCCTCCTGCCTCAGCCTCGTGAGTGCTGGGATTACACATGCACCACCATGTCTGGCTAGTTGATTGGATTTCTACAATAACCTCCTTTATGCTGTCTTGATCCCTCCAGATGACATCAGTTGCCAAGGTGTATTATAGTCAGACCACTCAGACAGAAAGCCGACCCCTTATGGGCCCAGGAATACGAAGGCGGAGAGTCCTGACAAAAGATGGTCGCAGCAATGTGAGAATGGAGCATATTGCTGATAAGCGTTTCCTCTACCTCAAGGACCTATGGACAACCTTCATTGACATGCAGTGGCGCTACAAGCTTCTCCTCTTCTCTGCAACCTTTGCAGGCACCTGGTTCCTCTTTGGTGTGGTGTGGTATCTCGTAGCTGTGGCTCATGGGGACCTACTGGAGCTGGGCCCCCCTGCCAATCACACCCCTTGTGTGGTACAGGTGCACACACTCACTGGAGCCTTCCTCTTCTCCCTTGAATCTCAGACCACCATTGGCTATGGTTTCCGCTACATCAGTGAAGAGTGCCCCCTGGCCATCGTGCTTCTCATTGCCCAGCTGGTGCTTACCACCATCCTTGAAATCTTCATCACAGGTACCTTCCTGGCGAAGATTGCCCGACCCAAAAAGCGGGCTGAGACCATCCGTTTCAGTCAGCATGCAGTTGTAGCCTCTCACAATGGGAAGCCCTGCCTTATGATCCGAGTTGCCAATATGCGTAAGAGCCTCCTCATTGGCTGCCAGGTGACAGGCAAACTGCTTCAGACTCACCAGACCAAGGAGGGTGAGAACATTCGGCTCAACCAGGTCAATGTGACTTTCCAAGTAGACACAGCCTCTGACAGCCCCTTCCTCATTCTACCCCTTACCTTCTACCATGTAGTAGATGAGACCAGTCCTTTGAAAGATCTCCCACTTCGCAGTGGTGAGGGTGACTTTGAGCTGGTGCTGATCCTAAGTGGGACAGTGGAATCCACCAGTGCCACCTGCCAGGTGCGCACTTCCTACCTGCCGGAGGAGATACTTTGGGGCTATGAATTCACACCTGCCATCTCATTGTCAGCCAGTGGCAAATACATAGCTGACTTCAGCCTTTTTGACCAAGTTGTGAAAGTGGCCCCCCCTAGTGGTCTCCGTGACAGTGATGTACGGTATGGAGACCTGGAAAAGCTCAAGTTGGAGGAGTCATTAAGGGAGCAAGCTGAAAAGGAAGGCAGTGTCCTTAGTGTGCGCATCAGCAATGTCTGATGGCCCACTCCCACCTCCCTAGCCCTCTGGTCTCTTTTCCTCCTTTTTGATGCTCTGGGCGAGGGATTCTATCTGGGTTCACTGGAGAACCCCAGAAATACCCATCTTCCACTTTCCCTTCCTTAACCCAGTGGCCTGATGGTAGTCCAGGCCAATTGGAGTCCGTTTTCCTTCCACTGTCCCCTGACCCCTTTCCTTGCTTCTACTCCAATGCACACAACTCCTTTAAGCCAGGATGGGGAAAGGAGAGGGAAGATTAGGCTGAAGTGTCTTGGAAGACCTCAGCCATGTTGGAGACTCACATCAGGAGGACCATGTGAATGGATGGATAGACTCCCCCCACCTCCTACCACTACCAGAAAGTTTGGTGACTTGAGGCTAAACCTGCCTCCATCTCTATAGTTCCATCTAGCAAGTTCCCTAAAGCAAGACTTTCTCTGATGGTCACTTTGTGGTCTGTGCCCTTAGAAATAATGGGAATTCAAAATCAGTTTATTCTGGGGTCTCTACCAGCCCATGTTGAATGAAGCCAGGGTTTGTCATGGAGTATCTAATTTTTGCTGATAATTCCTGAACATAACCTAGGCCCTTGTTCAATATCATTTTCCCATTCTAGTTCTCAAGTGGGCCCTCTCAGCATACCCAGTTCTCTCAAAGCCTCTGTCCACACAATTGGAGATGTTTTGAAAAACATAAAAATATAGCCACAACCACCACACCTGTACTCATCCTGGATTTAGAGCTGTTGTTCAATTCTTGAACCTATTCTTGGGAAGCCCTGGGAAGATTTGTTTTCCTATGTCCCTTGAATAGGGGATCCTAGTCAATATATTCTCTTGAATAAGTCCAGTGCCCAGGCTCCATGAAAAGGTCTGAAAAAACCATTCCAGATTACACTGTACCTGGCTTCTTTTCTTCCTTTCCTTCCCAGCCCAGATCCCCTTTTCCTTAACCCCAATTCATTGGAGAAAGAGAAGGAAAATGCAAGGAGTTCTCTCTCTTAACACTGATGCTCAACTAAAACCAGATTCACAGGGCACAGATTCCCCAGGAGAGTTTAACCAACTTCTCAGATTTCTACACTGTTGTACAGAGCCTCTGAGAATTGGTAATGCTTTGTTAAGATTTGGGTAGAAGCAGAAATCTGTGGCTGGCAGCCACTGTTTTGTTATATCTCCCAGTGCTCTTATGAAAAGTGCCAGTTATTTTATGAGGCAATGCTGTGAGGGGAGGAAATTATACCTCCTGATCAAATAACCCTGGTCTCCCTTAGCCATTCCTGAGACTTGGTATAATGATGAAAATCAGTGTCAATTCTACTTTCTTCTGCCATAAGATCAGTTTCAGTTAAGAGGATATCTTAAGGGATCGACTCCTGGTGAGGATTGCGGTAGGGCTCAGGAAAGGGCATGTAGGCACCAGAGCTTTCTCTAAAGACCCAAATCCCACAAGTGGTTTTTCATTTAGGTATAAAGGAACCCCCTTCCCACCCCACAAAGTAGTTTGGTATAGAATCCCTGTATGAATCAAGTAGCAGTTTATTTAAAGTAGACTTGACCAATTATTACAAGCTACCCACTTACACAGAATGTATACATCTGTATGCCAAGCCTTGTAGAGAAACTCACAAATTTTGAGGCTCAACCTACTTCAACTGTGCAGCCTTCTTAAATTGCACTCAACTAATTGAGTCTTCAAAATGAAGAACCTTTGGTCTCTACCTACCGTAAAGTCACCATTATTCTTTAGCCCTGATAAGAGCAAGAACCAGAAAAACTTGAAAATCTGAAATAAAGAACAGAAGGCAAAGAGCCAGCTTCTGTACTTTCAACTTTATTCATTGTTAAACTAACCTGATTTCCTTCACTGTGCAAAGACAAAATGTACTGCAGTGTGTGTGTTTTCTTATCAATTGGTAATTTTCCTCCATCTGGTTTCCTTTGCACACTGTAGCTTCACTCCTGAAGGAGGGAGGGATGCTTTCCATTGCCCTGCTGTCTATTCTAAGCCCCAGACTCTCCTCAGATTCTTGGATAACAATGTGAGAAGAAAACACTTTCTTTCTTAATCCTTTCTGAAAACTCCTCTACAATCCCAGGCTTTATGCTAAGTTGCACTTTAAATCATACTGTCCTATTAATGCAATCTGGCACCTTCTGCAATAAGTCCCTTGTTTCCCAGAGAAAAACTCTACCCACCCTCAACACTAAATGGCTCTTTTAGACTACAGCCTATCTCCCCTGACCTAGAACCCTCTTTCAAACTATAGGATAAGCTTTAGAAGCAGTCAGGACTTATTGACTTGAATGTTAGGAGAGTAGTAGGCACTGATGTTAAGGGGGGAGATTTCAGAACATGGGTAAAACAACTGATGGGGAAGGATACCCAGGGTGTAAAGATGACAAAACATGGGGCTAAAGAGTCTAGTGAAATCAGTGAAACCCTAGAGTTTTATTTGGGGCTGGCAAGCAAATGTGGGTGGAGGCTTGGGGAATTAGGAGCTGATATATATGAAAAGTTTATCTAAGGAGAAAAACAGAGATAATATATATGAAAAAATATGTATATAGATGTATATATGCCCAAATATACTGAATGTACAAAAAGGAAGTACAAATATCTTGCCTTGGTTGTGGGAGACACCCATATTTTCAAACTTAAAACGAATGATCTTGGTTTCAACAAAGAAGTGAGATAGCTGATGGATTTCAGGTTTGATGATGGGAAAGGAAGGGCCAGAAGCCCCTCTTCATGAATACACAAGATCTGTGGAGGTCTGGTGAATCTGTGCTACTGATAGGACCAGGAAGAGAGGAGCTAGGAGGAAATAGGGAGGAGAGACTTTTTTCCCATGGAAATATAGGAAAATCTACTACTTATACTGTGTGGCCCCATCCCTACCAGCATTCTGCCACTGTAGCAACTTTAAAAATAAATAAATAAATAAATAAATAAATAAATAAATAAATAAATGCACTTTTCTGTTTTCCTCTCTTTAAATACACTGCATTTTCCCTTCCTTCACCAGGTAGAAGCAGCTGTAGCTCTAGCCCCCATAATTAGACTAAGAACCTGTAATATCTTGGTGTTTGGGAGACACTAAATGGAAGCCTCAATCCTAGAATGCAAATGCCAGGACTGAAGAGCTGCTGGGCCCATGATACTTTCAAGACAGAGGCCCAGCCTCTATACAGCTGCAAACAATCAAAAAAGGGTGCCATCTATGCCAGAAATCTCAACTCTGGCACTGGGCATGGGGAGAGGGGTACTTTGGCTTTGATGCTCTGCTATAAAAATGAGGAACTGGGCTACCATCCGTCCTGTAAGATTGTGCAGTTCCACAAGAGGTTTTTTGAAATCCCTATACTGTGCTTCACTTCATTATCTACCCCCACCTCCTACAACCCCTGTTATGGACCAATGTCAGGGATTTCCCCTGTAAGGTCAGCAGAGAAAGAAAGTCACATTATTGGTACAAACCAGGGACAATGCACACTCCCATGGCTGCTACCTAGGTCCCCTATTAGCTCACCTGATTTATTTGTAAAAATAACACATTACTTGTGTTGTAAAGTTAGCTAGACTTCAGTAATGGCCAACTGTGCTGAAGCAGAGGTATCAAGGGATGCTATTTCTATTCATTGCATTAAAGACTAAACCAGATCAAATTTACCTAGGATAAAAAGTATGTGAGATATTTTTGGTTTATTTTATTTTGTCTGTTCAGAATAAGCTACTAAATAAAATGGATGAATCTCTGGTTTTCACTCATCTTCTTTTGGAAATTTAAATCTAGACTATTATCAAGATATGAACTCATAGGTCTGCCTATGGGCCTACCTATTAATTAGGTTGTGCTGAAAGAAATGAACACAGGGCCAGGCCTCTTCTGGTGAATTTCTCTCATGCTTTTCATTAATGATATTACTCATTTCCACTCCCTTCCTGTACCTCTTCTTATTAATTTTAGGATGCTTTAGCAAATACTTTTCAAATTCCATTTTAAAAGGACAAGATTTAATCCAGGAATCTGAAAATTGGCTCAGCTTAATACAGGAAAGTCAAATTGCTATGGATCCTAGCCACTGTTCCTTTTGGTCAGTAATCATGAGCCTATTTTTCTTTCTGTGCTACCAGGAAGGCTTGCTGACTGGTTTTCCTAATGTATTCTCAAGACTCTATAAGCCAATTCTTTAATCATCAGGCATTTCTTCTCCAAAATCTCAAAGAAATCGATTTTCTTCTACCCTGACCTATCACTAGCCTGACAAAGGCCTAGTTGTCAGTATCCAGTCCAAATTCTATAAGAAGCAACAGATTATACAATCACTGACTTATTCCTTAGAGATGGAAGAACAGAGAGAGGGAAGAGGAGGAAAAAATTGGGTCTCATCATCATTAATAAATCCACAACATTTAGGAAACACCAGGGATGAGTCGTATGACATACAAAATATATAAGATAAATGAAATATACAGTTTCTAAAAGTTTGTAGTTCCTACAATCTTGTGAGGAAAAAGCAAATGACAAGTAGCACATAACAAATATAACTAAGGGCACCAACAAGGAGAATTAACAACATGTTCTAAGAGTGAGATCTCTGAGGAAAACATTTCACAGGACAGATAAGCTAGGCAAGGAATAGTATCAATCTAAGAGGTCTTACTATCTATATCTCACTGACTTCATTGACACGCTTTGTATCTTTTGATTGTTTCCATATCTACCCAAATTTGGTGCCTCTTCCCCTATCTACTAGGCCAGCCATACAGGGACAGACTGATTGAGGCTTTTCTACCAAACTACCAAATCAACCCAGCCAGAAGACCCATTACTTAGTTAATCCTCAGACATCTACCTCCTGTATTCTCTACCTTCTGAGACAAAATCTCACTTATTTATAACTCACAGAGAAAAATGATAAATCAGAGATGGAGTCACAGTGACAGAGAATATCAGAAAGAGAGAGATAAAGGAAATGGGAAAGGAAAGGAAACAGAGGGAAATTAGAATTTGTAATCAACATTTTATTTGCAAACCAGCTACATAGTGATTAAGATAGTCTGGGTCAGATAGACCTGGTTTGAGTTCTAGCTTTGCCACTAGTTGGCTACGTGACTTAGGAAAATTATTTACTTTCTATAAGTCCTGATTTTCCTCACTGGCAAAGGTAGGAATATCTACCTCACATAAAAAGTATTTAGCCTGGTACATTGCAAGTAAGTCCTCAATAAACTCAGCTATTATGAATCATCATCACAGTTATTATTTGAATGGTAATGTGCTGCCACTGTATATATAAATGGCCGAGGGACTGCAAAAAAAATGGTTAGAAGCAATTATTGATCTAAGGCATATACTTATATCAAGACATATTAAAGGACATAGAGATATCAGAATAGTAACATGGAATGTATAAGGTAAACATGTTTCAGTCAAAGAATAAATATGAACTGTAGGATGGAGGGAAGGGCAGCCCTGACAGCTGCCTCCTCCATGCTAGCCTAGAAGATTTTCCCTAGGAAGCAGGTTCAATCTGTAAAATCAAGTTAGTTAGAATTTACTGTACATTTACCATGTGTCTGAGACTGCAATAAATTATGAGGAATTGAAAAGAAATCAAGAATAAGATATAATTTCTACTCTCAAAACCAATCACATCGAAAGGGTTATGAATAAAATCTAAAAATAAAGTATCGAATTCTACAATGCAGACTGTAAATGCAACCAGTGAGCATAGAAAGAGTGAATGGGTTGCAATTCTTGGTGAGAAATTCATGAAAGTAGAGTTGAGTGGGATGAAGGGGAGATCTTGATATAGGTAAAGGATATTTGAAAGGGAAAAGAACAGGGAATTGAGAACATTCCAGGGATGCCATTCTGTAAGTATTCTGGTAGAAGGACCACCCAAATCAACTTTTGCTGAATGGCTACTATAAAGATGCTGAGGTACAGAGAAGAAAATAATCTCTGTTCTCAAAGGGACTCTAAGGATACTGATGGAAAAACCAGGAGAGAAAATCAAACAATAAAGCAAGTTATTACTGCTATAATAAAGGAATGACCAGAGGGTACTGGGGCACTGGGATTACAGGCAATGGGCAGGACATTCACGTAGCAGGGTAGGGTGTTCTGTGTGAGGCCATCCTAGTCCACTTATCCCCGGACAGCAGACTGACATCTAAATTATTCCGCGTGAGGAGGAAATGGGCTGAGATAACCTTTTAAGAGCTGACACGCAGCTGAGGATTCAAGGGTTTAGAAGGCATTTGCCAAGGTGACGGGAGAGTTCAGGAAAGCAGCCTTGGAGGAAAGAACAGTAAACACAAAGGTACTGAGGCCTGAGGGCCTGACATAGTTAGGAATTCTGAGGCTTCCCTGTCTTCCTTCCCGACCTAGGGTTGCCGGATGACATACAGGCTACCTGCTTAAATTTGAATTTCGGAATAAACAGCTACTAATATTTAAATATAAGTATACCCCAAATACTGCATGGGATACACACTCTGGATCTCCTTCAACTCATCCTAGTCTACAAATCCCTCGTGAATACCAGACCGCCGGTGCGTTAAAGCATGAACAACTACCTTAAGTTTATTTTCCTTTCATTTCTACACTTCATTTTCCGGGTCTCCAGCCCAGCCCTGAGGGATGTAGCTAGCAGGTGGAGGATAACTCGGTGTCAAGGGTCTGCCTCTGCTGACCCGAAGCTGGGCGGAGGACGAGCGGGACTCTCTCACAATGAAAGCTCACTCCGCTCCTCTAAACTCGAGCCAGGGCCAGCTTTCCCAGCAAGCGGATGAGGCGCTACGTAGGGACCGGAAATCCCGCCTCCTCCGGAGGAAGCGGAACCTTAGACAGCTAATCCCAAAGAAGGCAATTCTTTGGCTGGGGCTTCTGGGAACCTTGCGCGGGTAGGAGACCGGAAGCAGAGGGGGCGGGGTTTGGTGCCGGAAGTGGTTGTCTTGTTGTTGTTTGTGTTGGCGCCTTAGCTGGTGAGAAGATGCCTCCGCCGCCTGAGGCCCGGAACCGAAGGAAGGGTTAGAGGTCCGAGCGCAGTTTGCGCTGGGACCAAGCGGCTGTCCTGCAGTCAGATCATGGGCTCCACCAAGCACTGGGGAGAATGGTTCCTGAACCTGAGGGTGCCCCCGCCGGGGTGTTCGGCGTGGCCTTCCTTGCTCGAGTCGCACTGGTTTTCTATGGGGTCTTCCAGGACCGGACTCTGCTTGTGAGGTACACGGACATCGACTACCATGTGTTCACCGACGCCGCGCGTTTTGTCACGGAAGGGCGCTCCCCTTATCTGAGGGCGACATATCGCTACACCCCGCTGCTGAGCTGGCTCCTCACTCCTAACGTCTATCTCAGCGAGCTCTTTGGAAAGTTTCTCTTCATCAGCTGCGACCTCCTCACGGCTTTCCTCTTGTATCGCCTGCTCCTCCTGAAGGGGCTGGGGCGCCGCCAGGCTTGTGGCTACTGTGTCTTTTGGCTTCTGAACCCCCTACCGATGGCGGTGTCCAGCCGAGGCAATGCAGACTCCATCGTCGCCTTCCTGGTGCTCGCGGCCCTGTACTTAATAGAGAGGCGACTCATCGCGTGTGCCGCTGTGTTCTATGGCTTCGCTGTGCATATGAAGTTGTATCCAGTCACCTATCTCCTTCCCATCGCTCTCCACTTGCTCCCAGAACGCGACAACGACGAAGGTCTCCGTCGATCCCGGTATTCTTTCCAGGCTCGTTTGTTCGAACTCCTGAACAGGCTGTGCAATCGGGCTGTGCTGCTCTTTGTAGCAGTTGCTGGACTCACGTTTTTTGCCCTGAGCTTTGGTTTTTACCATAAATATGGTTGGGAATTTTTGGAGCACACCTACCTGTATCACTGACTAGGCGGGATATCCGTCATAACTTTTCTCCATACTTCTACATGCTGTATTTGACTGCAGAGAGCAAGTGGAGTTTTACACTGGGAATTGCTGCATTCCTGCCCCAGTTCATCTTGCTTTCAGCAGTGTCTTTTGCCTACTACAGAGACCTTGTCTTTTGTTGTTTTCTTCATACGTCCATTTTCGTGACTTTTAACAAAGTCTGCACCTCCCAGTATTTTCTTTGGTACCTCTGCCTTCTACCCCTTGTGATGCCACTAGTGAGAATGCCTTGGAAAAGAGCTGTAGTCCTCCTAATGTTATGGTTTATAGGTCAGGCCTTATGGCTGACCCCCGCATATGTTCTTGAATTTCAAGGAAAGAACACCTTTCTGTTCATTTGGTTAGCTGGTTTGTTCTTCCTTCTTATCAACTGTTCCATCCTGATTCAAATAATTTCCCATTACAAGGAGACACCCCTAACAGAGAGAATCAAATATGACTAATGTCTGTTCCCGATCTTCTCATTGCTCTGAATGGACCAGAAAGAGTTTTGTACATTTTTTCTGAACGCTAAGTACTCTGGAAAAAGTTCTCTGTTTCAACAGAAATGAAACCAGTGTTTGCCTTATACAAAGGGGACCCAATAATTAAGATTCACCCTTTAGAAAATCTTAGACTCATTTACTTGGGTTGTGATAGGAAGTAAAGGTTACTTGTTTGAAAAAGGAAAGGCTGATGAAACTAGCAGATGCTGAATGATTCTTGTAGAATAGAGGAACAGAGTTAAGAGACATAAGGTCCTAGCCAGTATTTGTTCCAGCTATACTATGCTAATGTTTAAGATATGTCTGATTGTCAACCACCCACTTCTTTCTGAGGTTTTTTCACTAAATATTCCTAAAGTACAGGTGTTTTTGTTTTTGTTTTGAGATAAGGTATTAAGGAATACTACCGTGGTTAGTTAGGAAAGTTTTAAATTTTGTATTAAATGTGGGGCTTAGAAGATAATCCAAAGAATTTAACTTGTAATTATGTTTCATGTTTTTGTTTTTAACTTAGTTTTTCAGCACTTAATCCCACTGGTGTTAGTCCACCATTTGGTTTTATACAGAAAAAAAAAAAGGATTAAATTTAAATTCATCTGTCTTTAAACTTGAGTTATTACAGTTTTTAAAATATCATTTTGCTTTTCATGTTTGAGGTTCCTAAACACACAAACTCATGTAATATTTTAATATTTTTACTCCCTTACGTTTTCTGATTGCTAAAAATATTTTTCATATAAAATTTAAAAATTTATTAAAGTTTTTTATATAAAAGTTAATCAAGTATTGTTTGTGTTATAGAACTATTAGTAGATGCCTAGCAAGCATGAGGCCCTGAGTTCAAAATCCCAGCTTCCCCTGCTATACACACGAAAAGAAATATTAGTACAAAATATTAGTGGAAAAACATTCCACTTCTGAAAGTTTTGTCATGGAAATGGAGACCTAGGACGGAACCCTTGGGAGCATAAGCAACATCTCAAGGAGCCATTGGTTTTTTAGACCCAGGGATTGTAGAGGCTTTTTATACTTGATTTTAGGCAAAAGATTGAGAGCGATGGAAATGAGGCTTTTGTAGGCAGATCTCTTTCCCTTATCACTAACATTTCTGGGTTGTTTGTACAAGCATCCTAAAAAAACCTTTTATTTAAATACAGCCCATTTAAGCTGGGGACATCCCAACATTCTAAAATGAAATAGCAATATATAAGCATGATTTTGTGATTGCGATTTTAAAAAGTAAATAACTTAAGAAATGTTTTTTTTTTTCAGTTAAAAACGAAAACCAAATCCCTAAAAACAAAAAGCAGGAAAGTAGTATTATTCATGTCAATTTAAGCCTAAAAAATCCTTTGAGAATAAAATGTCTATAGGCTAGTTGTAATTAAGAATTTTATCACTGTCAGCATTTCTTTTGCTGGGTACCTTTTGGGACCTGGCATTGGAAAGAATAGGTAACTTTTTATGGGCTGCTGTTGTAGTGAAAATAGCAGTCAACTGTTGAGGACAATGACTTTCCTTACAACATTTAGACCCATATTGCATATTAGGTTTTACCTTGACAGCGCTTTGTATATGACAGTTCAACTAGTGGCCTTCCAACAATGACAGTCTTACCTTCTAAGAAATTATTTTATGATGATATTTTTTTTGATAGAGCTGAAAGGGCAAGGGGTAGGAAACAAAATTCCTTCCTCAATATAATTGCCTTTATATCCCTATTTTAATACATAAATTTACTTGTTTTCTTATTTATTTTTTGATTTGTGTATTAGTTGCATTTTTTTGTTGTGACTAACTTTAGCATTGAAATTGCTAAATAATATTTTATCACATGGATGTTTACATCATGAATGTGTCATTCTTCTACTGTTAGACCTTTAAGATTACTTCCAATTTTTAATATTCTAAATGCTACTTTAAACATTTTCTATGTTTTAGATTGTTCTCTTAGGACATTCTTAGAAATCAGCAAGTTTCTGCTTGGATCTTTAAAGAGAATTCAACTCCAGATTGTTCCCTGCCAGAAATTCTTTACCAAAGAGATGCAGGTGTTTTTTTAGAGATGCAGAGTGCATTTTGCAGTTTATATGCTTTAAAACATTTAGTAAGTTAACTTGAGAAGTGATTTAATTTGGTTTCTTGAGAAATTTTACTTTTTTCATTTATTTTTACTTTGGAGTTTTATAAAATCTTTTGACTTCTTTTTCTTACAATACTTTTGGTTTCTTTATTAGTCCTTTAATAATGCCTTAAAATTATATAGCACTTTGACTTATTTACTTCATAATTCTTTTTGTTTTTATAACCTGTGTTAGCTTTCTTTCACTGTAACAAATACCTGTTATAAATCAACTTATAAGAAGAAAAGGTTTATTTTGGTTCATGGTTTTAGAAGTTTCAGTCCAGTATTGGTTGGGCCTGTTGTTTTGGGCTGATTTTCATATATCCCAGTTTTTTGTGTTTAATATTTGAGAACAGACTTGTATCGAAAAGTTTCCTTGAAATAAAGAGCATTAATAGGTAATTCATTATTAAGAAGTTTGGACTTTTGCTAGGCAGCATGCCTGTAATCCCAGGACTTGTGATGGATGCTGAGGCAAGAGGATCCCAAGTTTGAGATCAGCCTGGACTACATAGATAGTTCCAGGCCAGCCTTGGTTACACAGCAAGACCCTGTCTCAAAAAGAAAAGAAAAAGTTTGCATTAAAACAAAGGTGGGAGCCAGGTGTGATGGTACACACCTGTAATACCAGCACTTGGGAAGTGGAGATTGGGAGGATCACAGTTTGAGGCCAGCCCAGGCAAAAAAGCAAGACTGTCATCATAACCAGTAAACTGTGTATAATCCCAGCTATGTGAGAGGCAAAGGTAGGAAGGTGGCAATACCAAGACTAGTTCCAGGCAAAAAGCATGACCCCGTCTGAAAAATTAAAAGAGCAAAAAGGGCTGAGGGCATGGCTCAAGTGGTAAAGCACCTACTTAGCAAGTGTGAGGTCCTGAATTCAAACCTAAGTTCAGCGCCCACTACCACCAAAACAAAAAGTTGTTCCATCGTAGTTAAACAAATACTAATTTTGTATGCAATTCTTTATCTTTCCTAAGAAAATGTAGGGTAGGACTATACTTTCAGGGGTCATTTCTGTAGTTTGTTACTAGAGAAGTTTCTCTGGTTGTGTAAAGTACCAGAAACCACAAGGAGCAGATGTAACATTCTCACCTGAGCATGAAGCTGGCTCTTGGTGTTGTTTTATTGCAATTGCCATTTGCCTTTGATAATCATTCTTCTCTTCCTTTGAAGGACTAAGGGGGTGAAGATGTAGTCCGAGTAGTTTCTGTTAAAAAAAAAAAAAAAAAAGACATAGGGTGGTAGTCCCCATGTTTTATCTGCCAAGTTTTAGGGATAAAAGATTATACATATTTGGAATCTTAATATGTGTTCCCCTTGTGACAATTGTTGATTAACTAGTTTAATATCATGATGATGGTTTTTCATGATTAGTGGTTTTTGAATATCTCTTCTGCCACATACAATTTTAATTTTCACAGCAAAACTTCCAAGCTAGTATTTGTGCTCTGATTTTATAGTTGAACAGAGAGGCTTAAAGTTAATTGACTTGCTGATAAGTGGCACAGCTGGAATTTGAAGTGAGTTCTTCTGACTAAAATGACATGTTCTTTCTGCTGTGTTATGTTCTGTATTTTTCCAGAGTCCCAGAGTCTCAGACCCAGCAGATGAAATTGCTGTAAAATAATGGAACTCAACACTATTTCTGGCAGATGTCTTGCCAATCAATTTGTCCTTCCCAATGTGCTAGATATTTGCCTAAAGGGCAGTTCTCCCTCAGCTGTATCAAGCTGTACCTAAACTTTCTCTTTAGTGATTCCAGACTATAATATTCCATTCCACATTCAAATCCTCTCACCAAATTGTGTAATTTCTTAGTTACTTGCCCACGTCATCATTTCTTTTCCTTCCATTAGCCTGGTTAAAGTGAATTTACTGAAGCACATTGTAACCCAGCTATTTTAAAATCAAGCTGTGGGCAGTATGTGACCATAATTACCAAACTTATTATAAATTTATCTTGCTCTGAAGTGTGCATTTTTCACTGTATTCATATAGTTAGAAATTGTCCTAGACTAATTAATATCATAAGAACCTAGACTCAGGTAGCTAGGTTCATATCCCAGTGTGTAACCTTAAACAAGATCTTCATATATAGACATATTAGTTTACCATCTGTGAAATAGGTACGGTAATGTGATCATAGAATTGTTTTGTGAGGATTAAAGAACAAATCACTTTATTTACAAACCTTTAAAGAAAGAACTCCTTTGGGTTGCTAGGCTTAAGCCTCTTCTCCACCCCTCCTCGCTCAGTCTAATGCATGTAGATAAGGAACTTGGATTTATACAAAATAATTGTTTTCCTGTTTCTATAAACTTTATTTCTTTTAATCTTGATCTGGTTCTTTGAAAAGGTCGTATGTGAAAATTTAGGGACAAAGTTTTCAGATGTCCGACTCAGGCTTGACAGATTTGAACTCGTGTACTCATGTCATATGTTAGCTGACTAAGCAGTGGAGGTTTGGCTTATGCCCCTAAATTACACAGCACTTCCTTTCTCTTGTGTTGAGAGGTCATTCAAAGGTTGGTGTTCTGTAAATGGAAGCACGTGT